CTTCTGGCAACACTTGGGGGAAGAATGGTACAGTCATTGAAGCTTGACAAGTTGTTAGTGGGGATAACATCCCAAACGAATCAGCAAGGTACAGATGGATTACTTGCTTTAAGAATGGAGGCAACAATGTTGAAGAGGAAGCTGAAGATACCAGATTTGCATCAGTTTTTGATTTAGAAAAATGAACTTTGTTCATGTCTTAATTGAAAAAGATTAATGAGTAGTCAAAGGAGCAGTTGCTATCACCGTAGACATCTCAATTGGTTCAGCTCACAAAATTCTGACTCAAAGTTCAGAACTTTTTGCTTGATGGGTACCAAAACCGTTGTGCCCAGATTAGCTGCAGACAAGGACAGAAATTTCAATGGAAATTTTCAAAAAGTGGGATCATCCTGAAGTGCCGCCTTCTAGGAATTCTAACAGGACATTGCACATGGATTTACCAGTGCAACCATAAAGATCACAGTCAAATCAATGGCTGCCAAAGGGAGAAATGGCCAGTGAAAGCAGAAGAGGACCAGTCAACAGCAAAGGTCATGGCAATCGTTTTTTGGATGCTCAGGCATTTTGATGTTGACTTTCTGGAGGGCCAAATATGATAACATCTGCTCATTATGAGAGTATTTGGAGCAACAGCGCCAAAGCATTAGCAGAAAAAATTCCCCAGAGTCCCCTTTCCACCACAACAATGCTCTGACTTGCTCCTTTCATTGATCAAGTGTGATTTACAAGAGTTTCAGTGGGAAATCAATAGACATCCACCTTATAGTCCTGATTTGGCTCCTTCTGACTTCTGTTTGTTTGCTGATATTAAAAAATAATTAAAGGACACTGATTTTTCTTCTAGGAACAACGTAAAAATGATTGCATTGACATGGTTAAATTCCCAGGACTCTCAGCTCTCTAGGGATGGACTAAATAGATGGTTTCATTACTTACAAGTGTCATGAACTCAGTGGAATTCATTATGAGAAAGTTTGTGCTTTACATTTTTATCTTTAATCCATTTTTCCATGAACTTTGTTGTAAAGTTGAAAGAGAGAGAGAAAGAAGAGTGAGAGAGTTCCCATGTGCTGGTTCACTCCCTGAATGCTCACAATAGCTCAGATGGGGCTGGTCTGAAACCAGGAGACTGGAATTTCATGGAAGTATCCCTTGTGGATGGATGGCAGGGACCAAATACTTGAGCCATGACCTACTTCCTTCTATGGCCTACTTTGGGAGAAAGCTGGAAACAGGAGCCAGAGCTGGGAACTGAATCCAGGTACAATGATATGTGATGCATACAACTTAACTGGCATCTTAGCTGCTAGGCCAAATAACCACTCCTCCATAAACTGTTTGAATTCTCATAATTGAAAAGATAGAAGGCTGAAAATCAATTTACTTGAGTAAAAAGGAATTTAAATACAATGGTGTGGGAGGAAGGAAAAATAATGGCAAATTAAACAATACAGATACAAATGTATATCAATAAGCATAAAATAAGAAAGTTCACAAAGCAGAAGATTCTTGAAGAAGATAAATGTATATGTTTGCACCAACATTATTAAAGGACGAGGGACCAGAGCTCAGGCGTACAGGGCTAAGCTTTTGCCTGTAGTGCCGGCATCCCATATGGGCACCAGTTTGTATCCTGGCTGCTCCTCTTCTAATCCAGCTCTCTTCTTATGGCCTGGGAAAGCAGTGGAAGATGGTCCAAGTGCTTGGGCCCCTGCACCTCTGTAGGAGACCTGGAGGAAGCTCCTGGCTCCTGGCTTTGGATTGGCACAGCTTTGGCCATTGTGGCCATTTGGGGAGAGAACCAGTGAATGGAAGACCTTTCTTTGTGTGTCTCCCTCTCTCTGTCTGTAACTCTACCTCTCAAATAAATAAATAAAAATCTTTAAAAAAAACTTTATCTTAAAAAATGATAGAGCAGAGAGAGAAAAAGGAGATCAAATGCTAATCACAATAAAGTAATTGAAGCACATCCTTTAGACATCAGAAAGACAGCACTATTACTGACAACTTTATGGCAATGAATTTTAAAAGGTAGAGGAAATGGACAAATTCTTAGCAAGACCCAGTGTAATAAAATAAAAATACAGAAAATCTAAGTAGCTACATAAGCCTTTGAATGCACAATTTAAGCACCTTCCAGAAAGTAATTTCAGGCTCACTTAAACAGCTTTAACGGTGTTAAAAATACCAAACATTTATGAAGGAACTAAGACTAGTCTTACATAACCGTGTCTACAGATCTCAAACAGTGCGAAATCTTTGTATTTTGTTTTATGAGGTCAACATAAGCTTGATTCCAGTGCGTGGCAAGGATATTATAAGAAAGAAAAATTACAAGGTCAATCACTCAGTTATATAGATACAAGCACATTCAAAACAAATTGCAAACAATGAAATGTATAAAAGATAATGATATTGGCTGAGCTAACTCAAGGAATGCAAGCTTGTTTAAAACAGATAATAACTCACAAATTCTGTTGCATAGAAGAATAAAAGAGAGACATCATTGAATAATCTTCAAAAATATAGACAGTATATTTGCTATAATTCAACAGTGGTCAAAATTTTCTCAGGAAACTAGGAATAAATGAAAATTTCATAATCTGATAGAGGGAGACTACAAACATCATGTAGAAAACCCGTATTAGATGATGAAATATTGAATTTTTGGCCTTGATGTTGAGATTGAAATATGCATGCTCAGTATTTCATTTATATTCAGCACTGCTCTTAATTTAACCTGAGACAGCTTTATTTTTTAGCAAAAGCAAAATATTAAAAATGTGTAGGGAAGCAGAAATAGAATTGTTCAGAGATGATATAAATAATCTACAGAGAAATCACAGAAGAGTGAATTTGGCAAATTGCTAGAAACAAGGTTAATCTACAAAAATCAGTTGGACTGCTGTACACCAATAACAAATAAGTAGTAAACAACTAGAAAGTCATTACAGTGAAAATTATAAACATTATTGAGAAAATTAAAGAAGAACAAAACAAATGAAAGGATATATAATGCTTGTGAACGGTAAGAGTTGGTGCTAAGGAGATTTTAATATTTCCCTGTTAATATACATGTCTTTAAAATTCTGAATCAAAATAACATGTATTTCTACAAAATTTAGAAGCTGATTGTAAAATTAAAACAGAAATGAAAAGAACAAATTATCATGACTTATTGAATAAGTATGGAGGAATTAAACTACTAGGTAGCTAGATCAACTACAGAGCTATGCTAAGACAGTGCAGTATTTTTTTTTTTTTTTTTTTGACAGGCAGAGTTAGATAGTGAGAGAGAGACAGAAAGGTTGGTTCACCCCCCAAGTGGCCACTACCCAGCGCACTGCACTGATCCAAAGCCAGGAGCCAGGTGCTTCCTCCTGGTCTCCCATGCGGGTGCAGGGCCCAAGCCGTTGGGCCATCCTCCACTGCATCTCTGCCACAGCAGAGAGTTGGACTGGAAGAGGAGCAACCGGGACAGAATCCGGCTCCCCAACCGGAACTAGAACCTGGGGTGCCGGCACCACAGGCAGAGGATTAGCCTATTGAGCCACAGTGCTGGCCAAGACAGTGCAGTATTATCATAAGGATAAATACTATACTAACCAATAGGATATTTCAGGAGGTTTACAAAAATTCCCTACATTTGGTTAATGGACCACAGAGTATGATTGGGGCACCTTTTTAAAAATAGGATACTAGGCAAAATGGATACATATGTATACAAATATAGCTTAACCTCCATCTATCATCAAAATAAATCAATTCCAGGTGGCTTCCAGTTCTAAGTATAAAATGAAGCAAAAAAATCTTTGAGGAGGAAAATATTTAAAGGACTCCAAAAGTACTAAACATAAAGTAAAAGGTAAAGTATATTACTATATTAAAACTTAAAACTTTGATTTACCAAAATATCACCATGAAGAGAGTGAAAAGGTAACCTATAAAGTGGGCAAAAGTAATTGTAATGGTCTCTTTAACAAAGGTCTCATAAGTACATACGTACTTTTTCTGAATATGTATGAAAACTTAAATAAAAACTTAAATAAAATGGACAACTCAATTATAAATGGACAAAAGACTTGAACAGACACTTCACGAAGAAAGATATCCAAACATCCAGATTTACTGGTTGTGTTGAGAACTTAAATTATCATTAGTATGGCTAAAATAAAAAAAAGGAAAATACCAAATGCTGGCAATAATGTGGAACAGTTTGAATTTTTATATACAATACATAGAAATTTAAATGGCCACATCAGTTTGTAAAACTTGTTGCAATACCTATTGAAGCTGAATATATGCACACTCTGTAACCTAAAAATTCCAGATATATATGCACACCAGAAACTAAATTGACCAGAATGCTTATAGCTGCCCTATTAGCAGTAGCTCAAACTTGTAAAGTACACAAATGTCCATCAATAAAAAAAGAATAAACTGTTATATAGTAACATACTGGAATACTATAAGGTAATGAGAAAGAAAAATCTGGACCTTCCCAATATAGCTTGCAAAAATGGTGACCAAAGGAAGCTAGATACAAAATAATTCTATGTTATTCCATTTATAGCTATTCTAGTGATACAAAATTCAGAAATAGGCAGAGTTAAGCCACATGGATAAAAGTCAGAAAGCTGATGACCTTTGGGGACCAGGCAGACAGTGACGGGAAGGCAGCAGGACAGCACCTTCCGGAATGCTGGTAATGTTTTCCTTCTGGATTTGGGGAAAGGTTATAGGGTGTGTTCACCAATGGATATTCACTGAGCTGCATGCTGAGGATTTCTGCAGTTTTCTGTATATGGATTATACATCATTAAATTAGTGAGTGATTTATGGTTCGTTCTAAACTCCAACAAGGTTTTTTATTTTCATAGAAGTGTTTTTGGCTAAGTTAATTAAAATAAAAGTTGACTGATTTATGCGTTAATTTACAAAACCTTTTTGCCACACCTTTAACCATGAAACCTATTTTTTCTTTTCTGCCAAAGCAGGATTTTCCATTACTGCCTGCTGCCACTGCATTAGAGAGTTGCCATTTCAAACACGACTGGAAGGTCCCATCCCTGCTTGGAGCCTATGTAAGTTACACATTTAGAACTTTTTAATTACCAAGAAGTCCGGCAGGGCCCTTTATAGGCATTTGTCAGTTCTCACTCACCGTCTACAAATAAAGGTAAAGTTACATCTTCAAGTCGTTTTGCTGGGAAATGTTGCGGTAGGAAGCTTTGGCACTCACTCCTAAGCCTGATAGTCCACAAAAGGAATAGTTTCATAGGATGGTGTGTTTTAAGGGAAATCAGAAAACTGACAGGACAGACAAGAGGAGCATGGAGATCAGTTCTTTAAGATACTCCCTCAGGAGCAGCCAGACCCATATTGGAAAACTGGTGCACTCCAGAGGTTGGATACTATCAAAGCAGAGTTTACAGAGCATTGAGAAGCTTGTCCAGTGACAACCCCATGACTGCTACCCGATGGCTGCCCCCATCCAAGGAGCAGCCATAGTAGAAAAAAGACCAAGCATGGTTGAGAGGTCACCATCCTGGTAAAGCATTTCCAGATTTATCTGTTCATAAATAACTTCCCCCTGTACTTTAACATACTATATATTTGTTTAAAGATTTTTTTAAAAGTTGAGAGGTAGAGTTACAGACAGAGAGGGAGAGACAGAGAGAAGGGTCTTCAATCCCCTGGTTCACTCCCCAAATGTCCAGAATGTCTGAAGCTGGGCCAGGCCGAAGCAAGGAGCCAAGAGCTTCTTCTGGGTCTCCCACAAGGGTGCAGGGGCCCAAGCACTTGGACCATCTTCCACTGCTTTCCCAGGCCATAGGCAGAGAGCTGGATCAGAAGAGGAGCAGCCAGGACATGAGCCAGTACCCATATGGGATCCTGACATCACAGGCAAAGCTTAGTCTACTATGCCGCAGCATTGGCCCCAACATACTATATTTTTAATATTCATTTTTAACCTTATATTAATAAAATTATATTGACTGCCTCTCCCTTAATTAAAATAGTCCCATCTTCTGTTTTCTTAAAATTCAGTGGAGTGTTTTAAGGATTGTTAACATCATACTGTCACACTTTGTGTAATGCTGCTCAAATCTTTAATCAGAATGGTAATAGTTCCACTTCCTCCTTATGGTATTGATAAAGAATTCCTTAGACTAGAACAGAACTTCCAGCAGATGGAAGATCTATTCTCTCTCTCTTTCTGTAATTGCTTTTCAAGTAAATAAATAAATCAATGTTTTTAAAAAGGGACATTTTGACATATACTATAACCTGGATAAATCTTGAAGACAGAACTGTAAGTGAAATACGCCACTATAAAAAAGACAAACATTGTATGATTTCACTTATATGGGGTTCTTAAATCAAAAAAAAAAGCAACCCAGAGGCAGAAAGATACTGGTTAGTGGCTGGGGGAGGGAGGAATGGGAGTTAGTTTAATGGGCACACAGAGAAAATGAAGTTCTGGAGAGGGATGGTGGTGATGGTCATGGAATAATGTGAATGTACGTAATGATGAAGAACTGTACTATTAAAAATATTAAAATGATAAATTATATTTTATCACATAAAGTATTAGGGGTGGTTGGGGTGACAATTAATTTTTTAAATTAAAGGACTTCTTAGTCCGTTTACCCCCAGCAACTTCAGTTTTTGGTTCTTCTGTTGCTGATTTTTTAGTTCTTCATGTCTCTGATCCATCTGTCTCATGTATCAACCAACACATGCCCTGTATCTAACTTCGGGCAGTGTTTCCCTATATCCCCAAACACAAAATGCTGATGAAACCCGGAAAGTCTAGAAAGATATTTTGTCACTGCTGCTTTAGCTGTGATGACTCAAGGCAAAGAAATTTATCTATGAAGCAGCCTCATAAGATGATGGATTTTTTGAACAATGGGAAAGAATATGCTAAAAGACAAATAACAACATGAATATTAGAGTCAGAGGAGGCCTCCTTGTTTGAGAGAACAAAGGAAATGTGTCTTTAGAAATTAAAAGATATCTCATGGAGAAGCTTCTCACTTAAAAAGTACATTGAAGTAGAAAGGAAACAGTAATTTCCACTAATTATCATATTTTGCATTTGTCCTTTGGTTTTCTATTAGAACCTAAGCACCATGTCCCTTTGTCCATCCAACAGTTGGTTCAATCACTGGTTTCTCTCTGCCTCTCACTCCTCCATTTCCACATAAAGATCATTAGAATACACAGAATACAATACAAACTCCTTTTAATAGACTATAAAATCCATCACAATCTGGTCTAGTTTCTTTTTTTATTTCTGAGACAATGCATTTTTATTTTACATGATAGTCAAAGGCTTAATGCTCCACTAAATAAAGAGTTTAACAAATAAAAGAGTAAAAAGGCCATTGCAAATTGGGAATATAGACAAGGGCTATAAACAGTAATCAAGTGAAAAGATGTCAATTTTACTCATATGCAGTAAAATTTAAAATAATCACAAATCACTCAAGCCATAGTATTATATCATTCTAAACAATTTGATAAGGATATAAATAAAATTTGACAAAACCATATTTGCAACAAAGCTGCTACACAAAGGCATTTCTTTCCCTTTTTTTTTTTTTTGACTTTTTAAAACTTTAGCTCCTAAATATAAGGGAGAATATATAGTATTTGTGTTTCTGAATCTTATTTCTTATCTGTGGCTTACTTCACACCACACAATGTCTTCTAGTGTGAACATTTTGATGCAAATTATAGAAGTTCATTCTTTTAATAGCTGAATAATAAATATTCCACATTTTCTTTATCCATTCATCTGATGATGGGTACCTTGGTTGATTCCATATTTGGCAGCAGTACTGCTGTAAACATGGTGGTGAAGCTGTCTCCTTGATGCAGTGTGTTCAGTGTCATTTGGGTACATATACAGTAGTGGGGTTGCTGGATCATATGGCAAGTCTATTTGCAGATTTTAAAAAAATCTCCATGCTGGTTTCTCAAGTGGCTGCACTAATTTACATTCCCACCAACAGTGTCTAAGAGTTTCCCTTTTTCCACATCCTCACCAGCATTTGTCACTCTCTGACTTTTGGATAATAGCTATTCTTTTTTTTTTTTTTTTGACAGGCAGAGTTAGTGAGAGAGAGACAGAGGGAAAGGTCTTCCTTTTTCCGTTGGTTCACCCCCCAAAAAGGCCACCACAGCAGGCTTGCTGTGCTGATCCGAAGCCAGGAGCCACTTCCTCCTGGTCTCCCATGTGGGTGCAGGGCCCAAGCACTTGGGCCATCTTCCACTGCCTTCCCGGGTCACAGCAGAGAGCTGGACTGGAAGCAGAGCAACCGGGTCAGAATCCGGCACCCCAACCGAGACTAGAACCCGGGGTGCTGGTGCCGCAGGGGGAGGATTAGCCTAGTGAGCCGCAGTACCAGCCGGATAATAGCTATTCTGATGGGAGTGAGGTGATGTTTCATTGGGTTTCTGATTTGCATTTCCCTGATGGCTGATGATGCCAAGCATTGTTTTGTACTTTTATTGGAGAAAGGATAATCTCTTTCAATAAATGGTGCTGGCAAAACGGATGTATATATGTAGAAGAATGAAATTAAACCCTACCTCTCACCATATACAAAATTCAACTCAAGATGGATCAAAAATCTGATTTTTTAAAAAAAATATGTTTATTTGAGAGGCAGAGTTACGGGGCGGGGGGAGAGGGAGGGAGGGAGAGAGAGAAAGAGAGAGAAATCTTGCATCCACTCAGTCAGTTCCCAAATGACTGCAACAGTGAGAGCTGGGCCAATCTGAAGCCAGGAGCCCAAGTTCTTGGTCCATCTTCCACTGCTTGCCAAGCACTTTCACTATTCTCTGCTGCTTTCGCAGGCTACCAGGAGAGAGCTGGATTAGAAGTGGAGAAGCTGAGACACGAACAGCACCACAGGCAGAGGCTTAACCTACTATGCCCCTTAAAAACCTAAATTTAAGACCTGAGACTATGAAATTGTTGAAAAAAAAAAAAAAGGTAGGGGAAACACTTAAAGAAATTGTTTACGTGTTGACTTCTTGGATAAGCACCTCCCCCACCCGAAGCACAGGAAACAATAGCAAATTTAGACAAATGAGATTATATCAAACTCAAGAACTTTTGCACTTCAAAGGAAACAATCAATAAAGTGAAGAGATACCAAAAAGAATGGTAAAAATATCCAAACTATATCAGCAACTCAAAAAAAAAAAAATCATCCTCAACAATAAAACAACCAATCCAGGTAAAAAATCAGCAAAGGACCTCAATAGACAGTTCTCTTTTTTTTTTTTTAAAGATTTTTTATTTATCTATTTGAGTGGTAGAGTTAACAGTGAGAGGGAGAGACAAACAGAAAGGTCTTCCATCCGCTGGTTCACTCCCCAATGGCTGCAATGGCTGGAGTTGCGCCAATCCGAAGCCAGGAGCCAGCAGCTTCTTCTGGGTCTTCCATGTGGGTGCAGGGGCCCAAGGACTTGGGCCATCCTCTACTACTTTCCCAGGCCATAGCAGAGAGCTGGATGAGAAAAGGAGCAGCCCATAAGGGTTGCTGGCGCCACAGCTGGAGGCTTAACCTACTGTGCCACAGCACTGGCCCCAGTAGACAGTTCTTATACTAGCTCTTTCTTTTCCTTCCTTCCTTCCTTCCTTCCTTCCTTCCTTCCTTCCTTCCTCCCTTCCTCCCTTCCTCCCTTCCTCCCTTCCTCCCTTCCTCCCTCCTTCCCTCCTTCCCTTCCTCCCATCTTTCCTTTTATTTTTACCTCTGAGTGCTGGTCCAACATTCCCTGGAATCACTCCAGCCACACTATGCCACCTACCTTTTAAATCAGGCCAGAGGACCTCCTGTTTGTACACTTGCCTTATCCTCTAATGAGAGTGCCTTTTTCCCTTCTCCACATGAGAGATTCCTGTTCATCTTGAGACGATTACATTGTCACCTTCTGTGGAAGCTGTGTGCCTCCCCTCCTCTGCCCACTTAGTTAACTGCCCGTTGCAATGATCCCTCAGTGGTTTGATGTGGCTCTGCTACAGTACTCATACTGCAGGGAAGACATTCATCTACACTTATGTTTCATCTTCTGCAGAATGTTCTGATCATTGCATCCCAGCATCTGGCAGCGTGGCTCACAGCCGACTCCCAGAGCCTCGTGGAATATGTGAGTGAATAAAGAATGGCAGGATACAAAATAATTAAGGCATAGTGTTCACTCAGGACACTGAGACCTATGTATTCAGGGACAAGAAAGAAGGTCAGATTATTTCTCTCTCTCTCTCTTTTTTTTTTTTTTTTTTACAGGCAGAGTGGACAGTGAGAGAGAGAGAGATAGAGAGAGGAAGAAGATTATTTCTAACAGAGAGGGCAGCTGTCATTACAAGTTGGACTGGACTTCAACCCCAGCCACAATTTCAACTCACTCACCTTGCTTTGCATGTGCAGAACAGGGTAGACTAACATTCCACACAGGAGTGTTGCGGAAATCAGTTCACATTAGCAACTGCTTCAAAGTCAAAAGGTAATAAATGATCTTCATTATATAAAATAATGTTGACTTCTAGTATTTCTTTTTATTCTGAAGTAGAAAAGTATCCCTTTCTACATAGAAAATACATGATAGGAAAGTAAATAGAATTGTTTCCACCTACAATGCTTTTAAGTTATATCCCTGTAGCCATTGGCCTGGGATATAAAGGTGAAAAGAAAACTTAGTTTTATGCACACGCACGCTCATACACAGTACGCTCTCTTATGGAAACCAGGCAGTGACAAGTTACTTGGATGGCTAAGTCAAATCTGGTCTACCAAGCAGAATTGTGCACTGTGCTGGAGAGCATTTGGCCTGCTAGGTTTCAAGGTTTGCCTTGGCTTGAGTTCACTGTAACAACACCCACCTCTCTCAGTTGCAGTGTTCTAACCAGGTCACCTAGATGCTATGAAACAGATGTTCATTGAAGGGAAAAGGAAATAGGTGGTATCCATTGAAAAGTGATAGCTGTGGCAGAGGGGAAAGCGTATTTTTACCTACAACACAGGCTGGATATTATGGAAAGTTATTGGTAGAGCAGAAATTCCTAGCTCTCCAGGAATCCGTAGCATTTAGTAAGTAGTACAATATACCAAGAGGCAGGGAAGCCTAGTGGTGAAGTACTCTGGCTCTGGAGTCAGCTGCAGCCTTGACTTCCAGCTCTGTGCTTAACTAGCGATGTAAAGTGAAGCCAATCATTTACTCTTTTATTTTCAGATTTTTATCTATAAGCTGGGCTTATAGTAATGCCCATTTCATATGGCTTCTGTGATGACTTCATTAATTGATATGTGTAAAGTATTTTAAATAGTGCATGGCACTGTCAGTTACTGTCACTACAATGACTGTCTTTATGTGGTGGGACACCAGTGTTCACTTGGGCTAGCAACAGATTTAACTTAGAGTTCTAACAAGGGAAGAACAATGATTAGGCGTTCATCAGTGGACTAGAAAACCCAGTTAGTGCTCAGTGCTAAGACTTGGACTACAGAAGCCAGAGAAGCAGACAGGAACCCAACAAAGTACAGAGCCCCAAACCATCCTCTGACATTTGTGTAACTGCACTTTACACAAAGTGTCCACAGCTTGTGACCTCTTTTCAACTCCTTCTCTGGGTCTGAATGCACATCCTGTTCAGAAGCTATTACTTGCTGATACTTGGTTTCAAATTCCTCTCCTGAATCTTCTCTGTACTTTGATGACTCTCCCATGCATTCACTCAGTGCCCTTCCTTGTAGAGAATCTGTGCTAGTCAGTTTTCTTACCTGATTGAATTTTCATCCATTTTGTGATTCAGAGTGTAACATCACCTTGCATTATCTGCTAAACAAAGTCACTGATTGGCAGGAGTAGCAATGAGCAATTTTGATCCAGAGATTTCTCTATTTACAATTTTTTTTTATGAAAATTCACTATTGTGAACAAAACAACACACCAGAACATCACTTTTTCAATCTTTTTCTGGCACGATCAGATGGAAATATAGGCTGTGACCTATGTCTGCCCTCGTATCCAACATGTTGCTTTTTATCAGTGCATATTCTTTTGGGTTTTATGAACAATACTAACACCACCATTTCCAGTAATTATGAAATCAATAGGAATTTCAAAGTATTAGTTGGAAGAAAAATATACTTTTGATATAAAAATGAGAGATCTTGTTTGTTTCTGATTAAGGTGGAGCAACGGTTGCCACGGTGATCCTCCTCTTGTAAATGTCTACAGAGTGGACACCTCACCATTCAAAATGGCCCTGGAGCCAGCCTTGGCCAAGAGGCCACGCAAGAGAGTGGCGATGAAGGAAAAGAAGCTCAGAAGGGAAGACCGGCACTTGCCCAGCCTGGTTCCTATGGCAGAGGAGGCAGAACTTAGAGTCCAGGGAATATGGTGGCATCTGAAGGGTAAGGCACCAAAAAGGAACACTCCAGTAACATGGATTCCCAGTAGGTCTTTGACTGAGAGGAGCTGGGTGTGACAACCACAGGGTGAACACTTGATATTTTGTTCTCTTCCACGCTACTGTTTCACTAATTTCTTTGAAAGCCTAAAAAGTGGTTTATCTGGAATATACCAAGTAATTGCTTTGAAGACTATTAATCTAGCTATTACTTGTAACAGTTTTTGTCATGCTCTCATTTTGTTTGAGTGGCACCTAGGTCCCACGGTGACTCCTTTCTGTTCATTGCTGATTTTTCAATACTCAATGACCTGTCTAGATCTGCTCCTTGCTTGAGAAAAAAGCAGAGAGGCAGAGAAGGATTCTGATCAGTGAACAGTCTGTCACGTCAGAAGATATTCTCAGCAAATTCGCTGTGTCTTTCTCTGGGGAGTGTCTCTGTTCATCTTTTTAGAATTCCCTCCACATCCTCCTCAAACAAGCTTTGAAGTGAGCAGATCACTGAGCAGGTGACCAGAACGGCTCTCCCTAAGCCCAGCTGTTCCAGGCCCTTCTGTTTCTCTGTGTGTTTGTTTTCACCCTGGCAGCACATACACAAATAGCTGATCATAACTTTCCTCTCTCTTCCACCTGGTTTAGAATTAAGAGTTTAATCATGAAAAACAAAGAGATGTGACTCTGTCATTCAGACTCTTCTTGTCTGCAACTCTGTTTTTTGGAGTCCAGTGTCCTGGTAGTGTTTTAAAAATTTAAACTGTCCATTCCAAGTCCTGGCTTAGTTTAAGGAAACAAGGTCAATATACAAATCCAATATTAGCAAAAAAAAAAAAAAAAACCAAAACAAAAAAAAAACCTGGAATTGAAATTATAAAAGTGATTATAATTTATAATATTAAAATGGAAAATTACAAATACACACAAGGAAATTAATATATGCAACTTTATACAAAATAGAAGACGCTGGCAAAATTTGTGGAGTTTTTTTTATTTATTTATATTTATTTATTTATTTTTTGACAGGCAGAGTGGACAGTGAGAGAGAGCCAGAGAGGAAGGTCCTCCCTTGCCGCTGGTTCACCCTCCAATGGCCGCCGCGGCCGGTGCGCTGAGGCCATCGCACCGCGCTGATCCGACGCCAGGAGCCAGGTGCTTATCCTGGTCTCCCATGGGGTGCAGGGCCCAAGCACTTGGGCCATCCTCCACTGCACTCCCGGGCCACAGCAGAGAGCTGGACTGGAAGAGGGGCAACCGGGACAGAATCCGGCGCCCCGAGTTTTTTTAAAGTATAACACAATGAAAGAATTAAAGAAAAAGATACAGATGTCTTCAAAATTCTAAACATTTGTGCTAAGAGAAAGCTGAATGATAAAATGTGTGCTTTTTATTTGAACAAAGGAATTGTGTGTGGAATTTATACAGAACTTTCACATCATTAATAGTAATAGTAGCAACAGAATATGATGGGAGTAGATAGAGGTTAGTAGAGAAACAATAATTGTTTTATATATGTATACATATATGTGTGTGTATTTAAATATATGAAGCACACATATGATGCCTGTGGGTATGGGGGAGAGAGGCAAACTTACATGAGTGTTATTATGTATGTTGCAGTTATAACCATTTTAATATTAGGACACAGTCTTCTTCATGAGCCTTTGAAAGGAGACTACACGAAAAAGAGTGAATTCTGTTGAGTCTCTCAAAAAAAATTTTTTTTTGACAGGCAGAGTTATACAGTGAGAGATAGAGACAGAGAGAAAGGTCTTCCTTCCGTTGGTTCACTCCCTAGATGGCCGCTACAGCCTGCACGCTGCACCGATCCGAAGCCAGGAGCCAGGTGCTTCCTCCTGGTCTCCCATGTGGGTGCAGGGCCCAAGCACTTGGGCCATCCTCCACTGCCTTCCGGGGCAGAGAGCTGGACTGGAAGAGGAGCAACCGGGACAGAATCCGGCATCCCGACCAAGACTAGAACCTGGTGTGCTGGCGCCACAGGCGGAGGATTAGTCTAGTGAGCCGCGGCGCCGGCCAAGTCTCTCAAAATTTAAAACTTAAATTACTAGGTTATTTAAGTGTGATGTTGAAAACTTAATGGTCCTTGAGAAAGCTTAGAGTAAAAAATTTTACTATTTACTATATATTATGTCTTTGTCAAAAGAGGGGAAAAAAGAAAGACTTAATGAGTCTTAAAAATAGCTTTTCCTGGTTCCAGTGCTGTGGCTTAGTGGGTAAAGCAGCCGCATGCAGTGCCGGCATCCCACATGGGCGCTGTTCAAGTCCGAGCTGCTCTACTTCCCATCCAGCTCTCTTCTAAGGCCTGGGAAAGCTGTACAAGATGGCCCAAGTGCTTGGACCAGTGCACCTGCATGGGAGACCCAGAGGAAGCCCCTGGCTTCTGGCTTCAGATCGGCATAGCTCCGGCTATTGTGGCCAGCTGCAGCGTGAACCAGCAGGTAGAAGACCTCTGTCCTTCTGTCTCTGTCTCTCTCTCTGCCTCTCCTTCTCTCTCTGTGTAACTCCGACTTTCAAATAAATAAATATAACTTTAAAAAAAAAAACACTTTTCCCCCATAAAAAACAAAGTACTACTGCCATCAAATACACACAATTTAGTAATTGGTAAACTTTGTTAGGAATGTTAACAAAATATATATGATTATTTTGGAAATACGTGAGCCAATGGGAAAAGGTCATCCTTAGAAGTAGAAAAATTCTAAAAATGTAGTAGTCATTTTTGATGATTCTTTTGGTATGTGAAGTACTTTGTACAGGTTACATCAATGGCTTTGCATTAGCATTATCTTTAACATGTTATTCAGAATTAATTGTTTGGTGGTTAAACTCTCTGCCAGTAATTTGCATGCTACTGAAAATAATACAGACAACACACAGAAAATGAATTGACTATTATGTTTCATGATTAAACCTGAGAGAGAGCTGTTGAGATGGAAAGCATGGGATGGTTTGAGAGAACCTAAATCAAACAAAAAGGTTGTCCCCAGGGAGATGAATTCCAATCAGTTCATAGTACATTTGGCCATTCTGGTTTAAGCAGTTAGTTATTCAATAAGGGACTGGTTATGAAGAATCATCTGCCTAGGGCTGGCTTTGTAAGCAAGATTGACAAGGAGCTAACAGTGGTCATTACGGTTAACGAGCATAGGATAAAGTAATAGTGTTTAAATCAAACTTAAGTAACCCAAATTAAGATTTCCTATTTCAGTCAATTAACAAATTTGGTGTTCTTGGGAATCAGAAGACAACTAAATAGGTACAGCCAGGAAGATGTGTATGGAAGCAGGGAATCTGGACACGGGGAAACAATATAGCATCATAGTTAACAAGAATCCAGGCTCTGGAGTCAAATGCAGAAACTCAGATCCTCAAGTTATTACTTACTGGATGTGATGTAAGACTGGGTAAGGTTTTTGAGTGCATGAGTATGTGTGTATAAACATTTTATTCCAATTATATTTTCCTCTCTTTCTCAATTATTGAGGAATTTTTTTGGTAACAGCCCATATGACAGACTAGTTGACAGACTAGTTACCCAGAATGATTAAATATCAATATTGACAAGCATCTGGTATTTCAGACAGGAAGTTTTCGAAATATCTAACTTATATGATGTTTACCAGCTTTTGTATTTCTAAACACTCATTTCTTTTCATCTATTCTTCATTTTGTATTAATGGATTATAAATGTACATATTTATGGCATATAAAGTGATAGGATTTTTTAATAAAATGTTCCAAGGTGGGAACATTTGACATCCACCTTCCCAGAAGCATTGAAATATGTATTATTCTAGTATTAGCCATACGTGCAACTGATCTAACAAAAAAGACCAAACTCACTCCTCTTACATAACTGATGATCTGCGTCCTTTCATATCATGTCCCCATTCTCTTACTACCCAGCCCCTCTTATCTTTAATTTTGCTATCAGCTTATGTGAGTTCAGATGTTTTAAATTCTACATATATGTGAGAATACATGGTATTTGTTTTCTGTGTGTGGCTTACTTCACCTAGATAACGGGGACTAGAGCCCGGTGTGCCAGCGCCGCAAGGTGGAGGATTAGCCTAGTGAGCCGTGGCAGGGGCTCCAAGTTCAGATACATTTATAAAATGTGACCATCTCCATGGAACTCTCAGGGTCCTGTGAATGTAACCGTGTCAGATCAGCCTATTTTTCCTTGTCATCTGAAGAAAAATGGGTACCGTTTAAAGATTATTTAGGACTGGCTGGCACCGCGGCTCAATAGGCTAATCCTCCACCTAGCGGCACCAGAACACCAGGTTCTAGTCCTGGTTGGGGCACCAGATTCTTTCCTGGTTGCCCCTCTTCCAGGCCAGCTCTCTGCTGTGGCCCGGGAAGGCAGTGGAGGATGGCCCAAGTACTTGGGCCCTGCACTCCATGGGAGACCAGGAGAAGCACTTGGCTCCTGCCTTTGGATCAGCGCGGTGCGCAGGCCGCAGTGCGCCAGCTGTGGCGGCCATTAGAGGGTGAACCAACGGCAAAAAGGAAGACCTTTCTCTCTCTCTCACTATCCACTCTGCCTGTCAAAAAAAAAAAAAAAAAAAAAAAAGATTATTTAGGACTAAGAAGCAAAAAGAAGTCATAAGAAGCCAAATCAAGACTCTAAGACAAACATGTAATGATGGCCCATTAGAACTCTAATAAATTTACCCTTGTCAGATGAGAAGAATGAGCAGAAGCATTTTCATGGTGAAGGAATTACTGGTCAAACTTTCCCAGATGTATTTCTGCTGAGGATTAGGCTAATTTTGTTAACATATTCTCCCAATAAGCAGATGTCACCATTTTTTTCTTTTTTGGTGCCAAAAATCAATTAAGAAGTGATTGTAGCAGCCCTCAAAACTACTACTGTGACCTTGTCTCTTGACCAGTCTGCTTTTGTTTTGACTGGATCACTTCCATTTCTTGGTAGCCATTGCTTTGATTGTGCTTTGTCTTCAGGATCACACTGGTAAAACCATGTTTCACTTCCTGTTATAATCCTTCAAAGAATGCTTCAGGCTCCTATTCCAGTGGTTGAAAATTTCCATTGAAAGCTCTGCTCTTGTTTTCAGTTGACCTGGTTAAGATACTTTGGCATTTCTGCTCTTAATTGTTGGTTCTCTTCAATTATGCAAGAAGATTAATTTTTCCTTGTAAATTGATATAGCTATTAATAAGATCACCTCCCATAATTAGGCTTCAATGATTTCATCATTCTTCTACCTAAGCTTCACCATAAATTAGATGATTGTTCTTGCTTTTAGTAGAATTCATGTTGCTCTAATGGGGGCTCGTTCCAAACTGATGTCTTCTCATTGCTAATGCTTCAAATTACATGCTGTTCAGACATGTTAAAACAAATATGTGTGAGTTTATTTTGGTGCAAAAACATTTCTGAAATTCATACCTTTTTTCATAATACCCACTTTTCATGAACTTTCTGATGACCCAGTTTAATACAGCATATTGTCTTTAATGCCATTCATTCATTGATGAACACCAGGTTGATTCCTTATGTTGGTTATGGTGAATATTTCTGAATGCACAAAAATCTCAGTGTACTAATTTTTAAATCTTTGGGAGTAAACACCTAGAAGTGGAAGTTAATAATAAGTACATGGTGGCCGGTGCCGCGGCTCACTTGGCTAATCCTCCACCTGCGGCGCTGGCACCCTGGGTTCTAGTCTCAGTTGGGGCGCTAGGTTCTGTCCCAGTTGCTCCTTTTCCAGTCCAGCTCTCTGCTGTGGCCCCGAAGGCAGTGGAGGATGGCCCAAGTGCTTGGGCCCTGCACCCACATGGGAGACCAGGAGGAAGCACCTGGCTCCTAGCTTTTGATCAGTGCAGTGCACCGGCTGTAGCGGCCATTTTGGGGGAGAACCAATGGAAAAACGAAGACCTTTCTCTCTGTCTCTCTCTCTCTCACTGTCTAACTCTGCCTGTCAAAAAAAAAAAAAAAAAAAAAAAAAAGTACATGCTAATTCTATTTTTAGCTTTTTTTTTTTTCAAGAAACATCCATGTAGTTTTCCATAACAGTTACACAAATTTATATTCTCACCAACAGTATACAAGTGTTACTTTTCTCCATATCATTACCAATACTTGTTATCTTTCATCATTTTTATAACGATCATTCTGAGTGATGTGGTTTTTCATTGTGCTTTTAATATGCATCTCCCTAATGTTTAGTTTGTTGAACATTTTTCTGTGTACATGTTAGCTATTAATATATCTTATCTTGAAAATGTCTGCTCAACTTCTTAAGCAGATTACTTGTTTTCTTTCTGTAAAACTGTTTAAGTCTCATATATTTTTGATACTAATATCTTATCAGAGGTATGGCTTGAAGACATTTCCACCAGTCTGTAGACTGACTATCTTTTCACCTTGTTCATTAAGTACTTTTTGTGCAAGAGCTTTTCAAAATTTATTTAAAATTTTTAGAATTTTATTTGAGAGGTGGGAAGTATGGGGTAGGGTGAGCTCTTATCCATTGGTTCACTCCCCAAATACCTGTAATGGCTAGGGACTAAAGCTGAGAGCCAGAACTCAATAAAGGTCTCTCACATGGGTGGCAGAAACCCAACTACTTGCAGCATCCTTGCTGCTTCCTAGGTTCCATTTTAGCAGGAAACTGGAATTAGGAGCTGGATTCAAGTATCCAACCCAGGAACCTCAATGTGAGATGTGGGCATGTTAATCAGCAACTTAACTGCTAGGAAAAATGTTCACCTTAAAATCTTCATACCTTGTTGTAACTGTATTTACCTACTTTTATTTTTGTTGCCTGTGCTTCCCACCATAAAATCTAAAAAACCCTGCCCAGAGCAATGTTGGGTAGATTTCCTGTGTTCTCTTCTAGTAGTTTCATAATTTCAAATTCTCAATTTAATTCTTAATCTATTTTATGTTGATTTTCTAATATGGTGTGAGGTAAGGATCCAATTTCATTCTTTTACATACGAATAGTCAGTTTGCCCAGCATTATTTCTGGGAGAGACTTTTTTTTTCCCATTGCATGGTCTTGAATGCTTTGTCAAAAAGCAGTTAACCATAGGTTTATGGGTTAATTTCTGGGCTCTATATTCTGTTCCATTGGTCTGTGTATGTTCACATCAGCATCATACTCTTTCAATCATTATTACTTTGTAATATGATTTTGAAATGAGGTAACATGATTTCTTTTTACTCACAATTGCCTTGACTGTTTGAGGTTTTATTGTTAATCCTATAAGTACCTCATTTTGTTCAACATTGAAACCATTACCTGTCTCATGCTATGGCAAATATTAAATAAGATAATCTATGTTAAGCCAATATAATAATGCTTGCACATAGTAAGTACTCTATGTTTGTTTATATCAGTATTACTTTGCTTCTCCAGACAGAATGACTGCTTTAGGTTGAAGATCATCTAACCACAGTTTGGTGAAACATTAACTTTAGTGTATACACACACAAAGGCAAGCCAGGAAGAGGTGACAGTTACACCAGTACAGTTGTGAGACCTTAGTAAACACTGATAAAAGAAACACAGCAGCATGTTTCAGTTTTAACAAGTTTATTTGAGCATTTAGCAATTCATGAATTGGGATAGCATTCTGTTGGAATGAGCAGGATGGTTAATTTTAATAATCTGATTGAAGACGCAAGACAAAGAAGACAATTTTGATGGGTTAGAGTGGAAAGTTCCTAGTTATGGATTAGTTGGTGGTTTCTGATTGGTACAGTTTCTAGTTTCAGTTTATTGTGTACATCAGACTTTGATTTGTTCATGTAGGAATTTAACATGCCACAGTGACCAGAGTCTAGTGGCCTCCCCATCAGAATTTTGTTTTGAACAAGGACTTGTCAATAGAAACAGACTGAAAGTGACCAGTTAAAAGAACACTATTGCCAAGGAATGTGTTAGGACTTTGTCAATGAGCCAGAATTACTTGAGTGGTAAGAGTTAGGAAGACAAAACTTATGAGTGTTGTTAAAACGTGCAACAATTCCAGTGACTCATGCTGCACTTATTGCACCGGGGAGTTTAGGGTGTGATGCTCATTCAGGCTCTCATACATACCAGGCTGTCCACTCACAAGAGATGGGGTCTTTATGGACATAACCTGGCTACTCCTTCTTGCAGAGTTGCACAAAGCATGCAAATGGGCTTCAATTTACCTCAGATGGCTTATTCCACACTTTCTCTAACCTCCATGCAGCCTCAAACTCTTCAGCATGATCTTATGTTAAGTCTGCTGTCAATTTGAAGACACTAAATATTTTTCAAACAAGCTCTTTAGTCACATCATCTTCATTCTCAGCTTAGATGTGAGTGCTCTAGAGAAGGACTTTAAGGTTCTGCTCATTAAATTTTAGCTTGCTGAACGTAGCCCATTAGTTCTGTCATTGCGATTACTTTCTATCATTCAACAAATCTGTCATCTACTCTGGTTTGTAGTCCTTGGTATATTGGATAAGCATGTATTCTATGGTATTATCTAAGCTGTTAATAAAAATATTGAAACTGGTAAGATCAAGGACAGAACCCTAATCCAAGATTTTTCAGGTAATTCAGGGAAAAACATTTAAACTTAAATATGAAAATGTGGCTTTGATATTTCATATTCACCAGAATTATTCAAATCCAACGAAGCTGTAACTTTAGACCTATACTTCCTTTGAATCATTAACCTGTATTTTTAAATGACAGAAGTTTTATTAAATCTTTCTATTTTTCTCAAAGCTCCAGTTGAGATATTTTTAGTTAAAATGACAATAACAGGGCTTAATGATGAAATATGTTAAAAAGGGCCAGCTTATCTCAGCAGGTCAAGTCGCTACTTTCAACTCTGGCATCCCATACTGAAGCACTGGTTTGAGTCCCACCGCGCCACTTCTGATCCAGCTTCCTGCTAATGTACCTGGTAAGGCAACAGATGATAGCTCAAATACTTTGGCCCCTGATATCCCTGTGGGAGACCTAGATGGAGCTCCAGGCTCCTGGCTTTAGCCTGGCACAGCCTAGGCTGTTGTGGCTATTTGGGAAGTGATCCAGAAGATGGAATTTCTCTTTGTTTCTCCCTGTCTCTTTGTCATTCTGCATTTCCAATAAATTTTTTAAAAAGGCTTTTAAAAAAATTCTGGCAATGATACCTACTTTGGAACTCCTAGAGTTATGTGCTACATATTAGCATCATAGAGACCTATGACATTTGTTCATGAGATACCACTTAATAATCCATGAAATTGTAAGAGGAGAGCTTAAAGTCTTGCAAAATAAGGTCTGAAAGCACATCATGGTGTCAGAACACTTTCATTTATAGGAACCTAAGTCATATGGGAAATGAAAGGTTCAAGCTTCTGTGATAAGCCTTACTCTGGTTCCACTCCACTGAGCTTGATCAGAATCTCCAGCAATCCAGTGGTTTTTTCCTCATTCCTATCCGAGTACCACAAGAAGCATGATTCTGGAAAAGACAGTAGAGAAACTATAGTTGGATCTGGCCTAAACTGATGTTTAAGGAATGAAACAAAAGAACAATGTTCTTATTTCCTGCTTTTCCTCTCACTCTCAAATTCCTTCTCCTATTAGATAAGAAAAATGAACTATGTTTTGTTTGTTGGCTTGTGAGTGGAGTAGCCAGAGGAGTAGCCATCAGGGAGAGGCATAGTAGGGACAGAGAAAAGAGACTGGCCCTGTGTACCTAAGCCTAGAATGACAACTATGTCTTTCCTCGCCTCTCCCTGTTTGTGCTGGGACTAGGGGATCATGAGAATGTCAAGCCATGATTTCAGTTCCCTGATTACCCAGGGGTTATGTCATCTGCCCCTGCCTCCTGCCCGAGAGCTGACCCTGCCTTAGCAAGACCACCCTCGTTCCAGCCCCAAATCAAATCATCGTCTTTGCTCATCCATGACTTCTCCCACACACTAAATCAGCCAAATGTGTTTAATTACCAGAGATGATTTTGTAATCCAAATGGCTACCACCCTACAGGGACTCCCGCTGAGATCACAATGTTCACTCCTCTCAGAAGTGTGTCCTGATTTTAACCCATGTTGTGTCAGAAGGGAGACGTTCAAGGTTTTCCCATTAGCTCACATTTTATATCTTACGTTGCTGATGGGATGCTTTTGGCAATCGCAGAAATCATGATCATGTTTCCAGACTCTGCTAAACAATAACTTTTTAAAAAAGACTCCCTATCACTTCACCTTTTTTGCCTCTCTGTTTTCCTTCTGGTTTTTTTTTTTTTTTTTTTTTGCAGATGTTGGTGTTGGGTAAATATCCCTTTCATGGAGGTGTTTATCCGTCAGGTCCCATCAAGAGTGCAAAACCCTGACAAGGTAATGAATTCAGGATTGTGTCTGGCAGTAAGTATGCTCCAGTCCCATGCAGCACATCTGGCAGCAGGTTAACATAAAACACAACAATGGAGTCAGAATGCAACACTCAGAAACCTGAGGGTAAAAAGGAATTAAACAAATGTCCTCACTGTAAATGTCTGAGAACCCAGACCAAGTGTTGACAGAAGAGGAAAGAGGAACAGAAAGCAGCAACTTCAAAACAGTCAAAATAAGGCATATAATTTAAAAAATATTTTAAATACAGCAATAAGAGGTTTTCAGATTGAAATTCGTCCAAAAAAAAAAAAGTGTTTTGAGACTCTTGCCTTGCAAGTGTTCTGATGAAGGCAGAGGTAAGGAAGTGCCCACAGCAAAGCATGGTCCTGGTACGTCCAGGGTGGCCTCACACTGCTGCACCTCTAGAGTGTCTCTGTCTCTGCATGCCAAGGCCTGATCATGAAAGAAATGCAGGGTTGCTAGTTGTATCATTTCAATTAGGTTTGGAAAATATCCTAATGAATTTTAAAATGAAAAGTCAAATTGAGAACAATATCCTTAGTCATACTGTCTGCTCATTTAACATGGGTTAAAAACATGGGGGGAGGTAGGAGAAATAATATCTTGTTTGTGCAGAAGAATTTGGTACACACAAAAGCAAAGGATAACCTTATGGAGAAGAAACTAAAGATTGCTTTGTTGGGCCAGCGTTATGGCACAGTGGGTTCAGCTGCCCCTTGAGGTGCTGGGTGCTTTTTAGGAAAAACACAGATTCTTTCTACCCATTTGAACATCTTCAGAGAATAGCATCTTGTTCACTTCATAAGAAGAAAAGGAATTGCTTTCTCTGTTGACTGTGCAGGCCTCAGATCCAGCAATCACACACAAAGATGCAACTGGTCAAACTTGAGAACCATTTTATTCTCCGTACTGTTATGTAATAGTAGAAGGCATGTTAGCTGAAGTTATTAACAGTAGCTTTTTGTTTGCCAACAGCAAAGCAACTACATTAAAAAATGGCGAGAGGTCCTTCAGTGGTGCAGCGGACCTGGAGGAGTCCATGTGTTCCTTGGATGCCTTCTCAGCTGCTAGTTGTACCTCCTCCTCACCCAATGTGAAAGACATAGCCTGGTTAGTAAATAAACATTTGCTTAATGACCAAATAACAGGGTGGAAAGCAGACATTAAAAAAAAGCACACACCTTCCTTGAAGACATGAGTTAAGGAAATCAAAGGCAAAATGTCCAGAGGAAGAAAATTTGGCTATCTGGTTAAGTGCTCCAGAGGTCTTATGACATTGTCTACTGAAAGGACAATCCCCAGGAGCCACCATGCACTCATGCTAATGAGTCACCAGTACAAAGGCCAAGACTCTGAAGACCACAGTGGACAGGGTTCGTGGTGAACACAGGTTACAAAGGGACGCCCACATCTGAGCACAGGCACTGAATTGAGAAGGCAGAGAAGGTGGACCTGCTAGCAGTCTTTGAATAAAGGAGCAAGGGCACGGCATGGAGAAACTGACCTCAAGGGCAGAAGGCGACTCATTTGGAAACACTCTTCCAAGCACAATAATACAGCTGGTGAGACTGAAGGAGGCTTTGGAGAACAGCAAAACTTTTGCTGCTGTCTTCTTCCAAAGCCTTGTAAACTCTGACCCTAGTGTTGGGCCAGTGCACGGGCAGGGGTCCTTTAACAGGCAGGACTGTATGAGTTTGAGTTTCAGATAATGCTCTTGAGGAACAACTGTAATAAAATCCCTCTACCAAAGGGATGATAGTATAACACTGGAAGAAATAATGGTAGAATGATTGTTAATGCACAAGAAGCAGCAGAGGGCTTGAAGCCACAACTGCCCACACCAAGAGGCCATTATTCCACTCCAGTCCTCCTGTGGGTTCCCACCGTTCTCCAAATAAAGTTGGAACTCTTTGCCATGATAAACAAAATCCTAAGCAGTGACCCTTTCCTTCCTCACCAATGCTGTCTTCCTGTTCCCATTACTACTCTTTGTGCTCCAGCCACCAGGATCATCTTGCTTTTTCCCAGGCACAGCAAACTTAGTCCAGCCTGTGGCCTTTGCACTGGCTCTTGTTGCTCCTCACTGGATCTTCCCTGCCTTCCCCTTTCCTTTCATGTGGGTTTCTGCTTAAATATAACTTCCTTAAAGAGATGTTTCCTGTTCCTCATCATGCTAAATAATTTCCTACTCCTAGCCCCACCCTTGGAATCTTCTATTGTGTCATTTTCATTCAGCATATTCATCTCTACCTCATTGTGTGTCTGCTTATTTACTGTTTGCTACCTAAAGCAATACCCATGAGGAGTTTTGTGGTTTTTTTTTTAATGCTAAATACCCAGCCCCAGAACTATTATGCATTGGTTATAGTGATTTCTCAGTAAATATTTGTTGAATCCATGATTGAATGCAATCCAGAAAGAGACAATGGGCAGATTAAGCTCTAAACCACAGAGCTAATGTCAGCAGCCAAAGAGAATGATATGAAACACGAGTGGGAGCGAAAGGGGGCAGCATGAGTGGAGGGAGGTCTGGGTATCCCCACAGCCTGGGCCAGAAACATAAGAGCTGCCCAGGGGAAAAGAAATGAAAGCTGTGGGAGTGGAAATCCTTGTGACTCATTTCAAGAATGAAAAAGAGAACCCACCATCTGGTGATCATGAGAACAACTTTAGGAAAAGCAACCCTGCTTAGGGAGTTCCGGGCCCTGGGAGGGAGAATTCAGTTGTGTTCAGCCTCTTCTCTTCTGTCTCTTCTGAAGATAGAGGCTGGATCAGGATTAAGCTTACTGGTTAACAATAAATAGCTTTACTATGTTATGTGCTGAGATGCCCATGGGCAGGGACACATGATCTTCACAACCAAATCTCCAAATCATAACACTTGTTTTTACTACTACTACTACTACTACTACTACTGTACCGGTGAATGGCAGGGTTCTTGTCTTCGCACAAGAAAGAATTCAGGCATGAGACAGAGTAGTGGAAAGTAAAGTAACAAAGTTTATTAGGGAAAGGACATCCATAAGAACAGATGGGCACCTCTCCAGACAGAACCTGAGAGAAAGTGCTCAGTCACTGGGACTCAGGGGAGGAGCGAGGTTACATGGTTGAGTGGAGAGATTACACCTGGGCAGGCACACGGGTGACTCAGCATAGAGGCAGAGGGCTGAGCGCGCAGTCCAGTTGAGGCCGGGGGTTTTTAAGGAGATATGTCTTTGTCTTCATACATCTCCTCCTGAAACAAAGGATTTTATGGATGTAAATATTAAGAAGCTCCTATCTGAGTTTTCCCCCTGAAGGTATCAGACAGGAGGAAGCTTAGCTGGCGCCGTCCTGAGTTTAGAGGAAGGGTGAGCAAGACACCCTGGAGAATCGGGATCTGGAGCAGGGTATTTGAAATGCAGATACTGGGCTGCATCTGCGAGATTGTGGAAGATTGTCAGGCAGAAGGGACAGGGACCCCCACCTGTCAGGTTACTGGGTAGAAGGGGACAGGGCAGGATGCAAATACTGGGCTGCCCCTGAAATGTTATCAGGATGACTTTGAGATGCAGATGCATATGCTGGACATAGATGTCTTTTCTTTAGGCCTTTGTCACACACACATAAGCTCATATCTGACTTCCTATCTAACACTACTACTACCACCACCACCACCACCACCACCACCACCACCATCACCACCACTGCTTCTAGTATACTTCTGCCACACAGTTCAGCACCATGATTTGAAGGTGCTTGCACTAATGTGATTCTATATCAAGCTGAATGATGGAAAATGCTCTAATAAGGCTCTGAAATCCACAGGTAAAACATCAAACATGATAACTTGATCACTGTAAAATTAATTTTTCTAAGGACTAACAAGCCCTTCCAAGTCATATGGAGATATCTGAAAGTCTTACCAGCTTGTGGAGTCACCTTTGGACATCCTCTTCAGTACAGCAGAGGAAGGATGGAACTCCTAGATGCTGTTTATCAAATGATCTTCTTCGGTAAACCTGGGGATCTGGCCCAAACAAGTCTGAAAGTAAAGTCATCTGACACCAGAATTTGAGAAATAAACAACCATGCTCAAATCTCTTTTCTCTATGACACAAAGTGATAATAAAACTAATATAAAAGGGAACTGGGAATGTATATTTCTAACATATATTTTCCAGTAAATGAGAGAATGTTTGCTGAAAAAAAGATTGAATACATAGAGATAGTATCTTATGATCAAATTCTGGTTTTAGAAATAAGCTTTCAACTTTGGAACGTTTACAGGTAAGTTTGTTTATCTAAAGTGGATCATGCCCAGTGAATTTCCCAAAGTTACAACAACACTAACTCATTTAGTACCAGGCATGACTAACTCATATCAGTTTAATAAGTCTTGGCAGTGTTTAAGTGGAAGAGATGGAAGGAGATAGTATCACAGTTTATAAACAGAAAAGGGAACGATAATGTGCATGTATTCATTCACACTTGAGAATGCCAAGTTAAGTTATAGTATTGATCTCCATGATACTTAACTAACAGACCCAAGTCTTGGGTTTTATTCATCAGCACAACTGAGGTAAAGCTTCTGCAAGTACAGGTGTGTGTGGCAGAAGTGTACACATGCCCACATTGTCAGATTCCTGCTCTGCCCATGCAGGTGAGGTGTGCAAGATGGGAAATATTTTGGATCTTCTCGACCTTTGGAGGATACAGGCCCGGGAAAAGACCTCCACCACCAGAACATAAGAGCCCCAGACATGAACTCAAAATAAACATTAGTGTTTTATCCAGAACTGTGATTTCTACTTTCAGAGGAATACAAATGCCTGGGTTTGTCTCAACTCTTCTGACACCTGCAGCTAGAGCTGCTGATTCCTCATTATAATGGCAGATGTGATGAAATAGTCTTCTGTAAAATACATGATTTGCAGAAATGAAGAATTCTAAAATTGTGACAGGGAGAATCCAAGATGAGCTTAGAGTGTCTTGTAGCAAATATAAGCAAGGAATTGCTTAACACACACACACACATAAAAAGGAAAGTTTGGTATTGGCCAGTCTATATTCTTTTTTTTTTTTTTTTAATTTGACAGGTAGAGTTACAGACAATGAGAGAGAGAGACAGAGAGAAAGGTCTTCCTTCCGTTGGTTCACCCCCCAGATGGCTGCCACGGCCGGTGCGCTGCACCGATCTGAAGCCAGGAGCCAGGTGCTTCTTCCTGGTCTCCCATGTGGGTGCAGGGCCCAAGCACTTAGGCCATCCTCCACTGCCCTCCCGGGCCACAGCAGAGAGCTGGACTGGAAGAGGAGCAATTGGGACTAGAACCGGTGTCCATATGGGATGCTGGTGCCACAGAAAGAGGATTTACCTAGTGTGCCACGGCGCCGGCCCCCAGTCCATATTCTTAATAAGTATCTAGGGTAATCCTGAAGTCATTGACTCTGAACCATATTTTGAAAGTGCTGCCCTACAACCACCACACTAAATTGTTGCCTTTGAATAGGCAGATAAGGGGCATGAGTTATTTTTAAACTAAGACTGGCTACATTATGAGCAGCTTCTAAGGTAACTGAGGTGACATGAGGCATTTGTGATGTTGCTTAGGTTACCAGACTACTGAGTTTTCTTCTAGATAAAGAATATGCTACTGGGATTGGTGCTGTGGCATAGCAGGTAAAGCCGTCGCCTGCAGTGCTGGCATGCCATATGGGTAGCAATTCAAGAACCGACTGCGCCACTTCCGATCCAGCTCTCTGCTGTGGCCTGTGAAAGCAGTCGAAGATGGCCCAAATCCTTGGGCCCCTGCACCCACGTGGGAGACCCAGAAGAAGCTCCTGGCTCCTGGCTTTGAGGCGGCACAGCTCTGGCCTTTGCGGACCTCTGGGGAGTGAACCAGCAGATGGAAGACCTCTCTCTCTTTCTGCCTCTCTGTAACTCTGCCTTTCAAATAAATAAATCTTTTTTTTTTTTTAAAAAAAAAGAATATCCCACCAAGATGATCATGTAGGCCACAGGGCAAGGCTTTTGTTCCAGTGGCTTCTATAGGATCGTGGCCCAAATCACTCCAACAGCTATAAATGCACCCTGTAAGGCAAAGGCAGGAAGTGAACATGCCCAGGCTTTGTTTCCTTCCTTTGTTGAAATTCCTTTTGTGCTTGTTCTGGTATTCTCCTTTTTCATGACCTATTACTTTATTTTAGAGAAGCATGTCTATTAGAAATCTTTTGATAAAAAAATGAATGAGAATTGACAAACTTCTTAGTTTGAAAATCATTTTTCTTAGTCACCCATTTAATAGTTGAAGCATTAAATATTTTATGTTGAAATTATTTAAAACACTCCATACTGTATTTAAAACTTATTTCTGTATATTTGAGGGGCAGACAGAGAGAGAGCTACCATCTGTTGGTACACTCCCTAAATGCTTACAATAGGTTGTGCTAGGCTGGGGCCATGCTGGGGCCACTGAGAGCCAGGAATTTAATCCAGCTCTCCCATGTAGGTGGGTGGCATTTACCCAATTACCATCTGCCTTCTAGGCAAGCTGGAGTGTAGATTAGAGCAAAAAGTCAAACTAGGCACTCTGATTTGGGATATAGGCATCTTAATTATCTTAACAGGGCAAATGCTCACTCCCATTCACAATTTTTAATGGATTTCTTCACTATCTCCCATGTATCCATTTTGTTAGACTATAAACCATGCTTAGTTTCTCTTTTTCAAAGACGTAATTCCTGCCCCCCCCCCATTGTATTTAGGATCTTCTCTTTATCCAAGGTATCCTATGTTTTGTGTTGTTATTATACCTGGGTGTTGGTCTTTTTTGCTCATCTAGCTGGAATCTCATTTTCTTTTGTTCCAAGAAATTTTCTTCCATTATTTCTTTAAAGATTTCCTTTGTATGGGGCTGGCGCCGTGGCTCACTTGGTTAATCCTCCGCCTGCGGCACCGGCATCCCATATGGGCACCGGGTTCTAGTCTCTGTTGCTCCTCTTCCTGTCCAGCTCTCTGCTGTGGCCCGGGAAGGCAGTGAAGGATGGCCCAGGTGCTTGGGCCCTGCACCCACATGGGAGACCAGGAAGAAGCACCTGGCTCCTGGCTTCGGATCCGTGCAGCGCCAGCCGTGGCGGCTATTTGGGGGGTGAACCAACTGAAGGAAGACCTTTCACTCTGTCTCTCTCTCTGTCTATAACTCTACCTGTCAAATAAATAATAAAAAATTAAAAAATTAAAGATTTCCTCTGTTTTCTCTGACCTTTTAGGATTAATAGTCATTAGATGTTAGGCCACTTGAATTAATAATGAGGGTTCTTAACATCATATCTCATGTGGCTTATCGGGTTATCTGCTAATAAGGAGTTCACGTATGTTCAGGTTTTAAAATCTTGTTAGATTTTCAGACTTTTTAGAAATTCATGACCTGGGAAATAGTCCAGCAACTCCTACCCATAGTTCAGCTTTTCTTAATGTGCATCTACCTTGAATTTTTTAAAAAGATTTATTTATTTATTTGAAAGAGTTATACAGAAAGAGAAGGAGAGGCAGAGAGAGAGGTCTTCCATCCGCTGGTTCACTCCCCAATTGGCCGCAATGGCTGGAGCTGCGCTGATCAGGAGCCAGGTGCTTCTTTTGGGTCTCCCACGTGGGTGCAGGGGCCCAAGGACTTGGGCCATGCTCTACTGCTTCCCCTGGCCATAGCAGAGAGCTGGATCAGAAATGGAGCAGCCGGGACTCAAAACCGGCACCCATATGGGATGCTGGCACTGCAGGCAGTGGCTTTACCCGCTATGCCACAGCACTGGCTCCGAATATTTTTTTTTTTTTAAATTTAGCTGAAAAACTGATGTTGAGGAGAAAAAGAGAATGCTTGCTTTTGTGATCTCAGTGGAGGGCACTTCCAGAGCAATTTTATTGTTATGGCTTGTCTGGGTGTAATCTCTGTTTTTTTTTTTTTTTTTTTTTTTTTTTGACAGGCAGAGTGGACAGTGAGAGAGAGAGACAAAGGTCTTCCTTTGCCGTTGGCTCATCGTCCAATCCGCGGCCAGCGCGCTGTGGCCGGCGCACCGCGCTGATCCGAAGGCAGGAGCCAGGTGCTTCTCCTGGTCTCCTATTGGGTGCAGGGCCCAAGCACTTGGGCCATCCTCCACTGCCTTCCAGGGCCACAGCAGAGAGCTGGCCTGGAAGAGGGGCAACCGGGAAAGAATCCGGTGCCCCGACCGGGACCAGAACCCAGTGTGCCGGTGCCGCGAGGCAGAGGATTAGCCTATTGAGCTGTGGCACCGGCCTGAAATCAGTTTTCTGATAACTAGGTGGTGACTGATTCTGTGTCAAAGCCATGCCTAGAATGATCCTAGTATGTTGCTTAATCCTTTATGTCTATGATTTGGTAACTCTTATCAGGTGCAAGTCATGGTTTGTCAAATAATATCTTCTTGGACTAGGAAGCTGGTTAGAAATTAGACCACAGTGCAATCATCTAAGCAGCAGTTTTAAAGGTGATGGTTCCAAAGCAGAAAAACAGATCTTTACATATTAGACAACTCTGGAGTCAGGGATTTGAAACACATGTGAATAGTGGAATTGGCTTCCCAGCATAATGTTTTATTTCAATTTCTTGATAATTTTTACCTGTAGTATAGACTTCACATTCTTCATCTATTATGTTTAGCCTCGCTTGAATTTGCATTCAAACCTCATTATTTTAGTCTTCTTGGGAAATTGTGGGATATTAAACCATATTAAATGGAATTGGCTTTATTAGCTTACCGAAGGGTTCTTCAAAATGTTCATGGAAAAATTCATTTTATGAAAAAATTTGTTGGGATTTCAATATTTTCTTTTACCTTTTAGTTCCATTTGCAACATAATTTGGAAGTACCCTTGTACATCAAAAGATGCAATTACTAATCTTTTTAAACCTGTCATTCTCAATCACTGCCACACCTAAACCCATTTTTCTTTTTTTTTTTTACATGTTTATTGAAATGCAGAGTTACAAAGAGGCTGTGTGTGTTTGTGTGTGTGTGAGAGAGAGAGAGAGAGGCAGAGAGATCTTCCATCTACTGATTCACTCCACAAATGGCTGCACAGCTGGGCTGCGACTGGGCTAAGATGCAGCCAGGAACCTGGAATTCCATCCAGGTCTCCCACAAGGATGGCAGGGACCCAAGGACTTAGGTCACCTTCAACTGGTTTCCAGGAGCAACATCAGCAGGGAGCTGGATCGGAAGTAGAGCAGCTGGGACAAGAACTGGCAGCCATTTGGGATGCCAGAGACACGGACAGTGGCTGAATCTGCTATGGCAGAAGGTTCACGCCAACCATGTTTTTTCTTGTCTCTTTGGTTCCTTT